ATTAGCGATGCAGTCTGTCGGTATGAACAAACAAAGACTAGTGCGAGACGCTAAGATTAAGGGCGACTGGGAAGAGGCGAGAATGCGTTTTGACGGAGTGTCCAATGTGTATTCGCAAGTCGAGTCGACCACGATCGATGGTACCCAGCAAACTTACAATGATTTACATGCAAACGTATCTTGCCGAGTTGTACACATCTTGGCTGCCTCGTTATTTAATCTCTTATCTGTTTCTAGCTTACTCTCGTTTTTTTTCTCTGTTCTGTTTTTTTTTCTGTTCTTTTTTTTGTTGTTTTTTTTTTTTTTTTGTTTTTTTTTGTTTTTTTGTTTTTTGTTTATCTCACTGTTTGTCACGACGGACGAGCCCTTACATTGGACTTTCCTCTTTACTCTTTACTATTAGCTCCAGATCCCGGAAATATTTCAACCCCCCCCCCCATCCCATCCCATCTCATAGCAGCCCCGTTATTTTCCATCTGTAGGCTTGGACAATGAGATCAGTTCCTGTGTCATGTGTTTGCAAACTCATCGATAAATAAAAGTGAATCGATTGGGTGAATTTGGCCCTGCAATGCATTCGTTGCCGTTAACTCGTTTTTTTTTTTTTTTTTTTTTTTTTTTTTTTTTTTTTTTTTTTTTTAAACCTCTTGATTAACGTAGCTTCCCCCCATTTTCCATTAGTGCTACAGTGTAGAGCTTGCAAGCTATTCAATTCTCACGTTTAAATTTTTTATATATATGTATGCGCGTGTATTTGTAGAGTCGTAGGCATATCGCCGATTTTCAGTCTTCGTCTCGTGAAATTATCAGTTATATAAACTATCGCCGTCATATTCTAAATTTTCTTCCACTTGACTTTTTAATGTAATAAAGACTTTTTAATTTAACATTATAATTTAATTGCAATAAAGCGCAAAGTCGTTTTCTTTATGAATATATACGTTGAGTTGTGAAATTGAGATTGCAAATGATATTCTCTGTATTTATTTTAGTACGAGACTGAATGCAATTTTTCTTTTTCGCAACCAATAAGAGAATATAACGCGTGCGAATGTATTGTCCAAGCGGATGTCGATATAGAATTGACACACTATTATAGAACATTATGTAGCGAGCTTAATTTATATTCTAGTTAAAAGTAAGCATTTATTACAGTTCCAAGTACATTTAATTAGGCTGTCAAAGGATTGTGATGTGCGAAAAACGACTCGCATTAGCTTCCTCATTGAACGTAATATAACATTAATAATTAGACCCTTTTCTTCGCATTAAGGTCATAAATTACATTTAATATTCGTTACTATTCAGAGGCTCAATGTTCAATTTTATTTTTTCATCTTCTTTTTTTTCTCTTAATTCTTTGATGACAAATTTTTCTTTCTTTACGCAGCTTTTCACTACCATGCGTCTTTTAATTTTGATGTAAGCACGAAAAATACTCTTTTTGTTTCTTTAACTTCTTCATTAGCGGTATAAAAATAAGTCACGATATTATGTTAAAGCAAGTAGATATGACCCGTCCAAACCATTAAAATTATTCGTGCAAACAGTACAGGGAGAACAAAAAATAAGATCGCTAAACTGATTGTAGAACTGAGATGGACGTTTACGAGAATTATCGCTATGTCTCCTATGTAATTTATATACGTTAAACGCACGTTTCTTCCTTTTGTTCGTCAATATTATACTTAAAATATTATTATTTGTTTGCTCGATCCTTTGATTGCTAAGCATAATATTAGTTATGTTACGCGTATTAAAATCAATATTGCTGACAATTATTTTTTATTCATGCATATGAAAGTAAGTAAGTAGCGGCAATGTAGATTATTATTAATATTGTCTATACAAGTGGACAGACATGAAATTTCCAACAAAAATAGAGATTTTTCAAAAATAATACTTCGTTTCCTTTTATGTACATTGAGTATCTGAAATTTTAATTTTATCACTGTGTGACTATTGGCTTTTTTCTTACATACGTCGTCTTACCGTTTATTTTATTGTGCTGTGATTTTTTGAAATGTATTAGCAAAAATTATTGGATCTAACATTGGTAATAATAATCTATGGAATATTATTTTGTAAACATCTAACCACAAACTGATCATTTTAAAGCAATTTTCTCTATTTTCAAGCAAATTATCTGGCGCTATTTGCCTGGGTGCTTAATTACATTCTTGTTAAAATTAATGAATTCAATCGCATCTTATTACATGATCGATTACATTATATCCCTGTAATTATTTGTAATTAATTTTCTTATATCAAAATTCTTTTAAAATATTTCGAATTTAGTTTACTATTCACGTTTGCTTTTTGTCCAGCTTCGTCGTTAGTTAAACAATCGATTTTTTGCATGCGCATTGCTATCCGTTTACAAATTTGGAGGTATAAATTTGTTAACCATACTTGCATATAATTATTGACACGCGTAATGTATACTTGTGGGCTTATGCATGAATTCTCATAACAAGTAATATTAGTAATTAGTAATCAATTGACTAATATCTGTAAGTTTCATTATTTAAAGTGGCTGGTATCGTCAGTATTTTGAAGCACCCAAACATTAATTCATGTAAATATGACTTTATATAACATCTCGATTAAATGAAATTTAATAATTTAAATATAATAAATTTAAATATGTTGAAAGCGTTTTAAAGAAATCGTGATGTGTATATTATCATAAGTGATTTGCACATGATTAGCCCATTGGCATTAAATCAAATAATTCGTTTGAAAGTGACTTGTAGCAACAGACGCATTAATAAGAAAACAATGTTTCAAGGAAACTTTATTAATGATAACAATAAGTACAAACACTGCACGAATTAATCCAGCTGTTATATATATATGGAGAGTAAGGTAATCAGATTCAGGTGCTCCAAAACTGATCTTATTACTCGGAGCCTGCAGATCTCTAACGCGAATTTATGTACAGAAAAGAAAGGCGATTGGAAATTATGTCTTATGGTCAGTTTGTAGGGTAGTAGTCGGCAAGTGGAAAGCGAAAGCGTGCATGAAATGTCACTGACTATCGGGATTGTATCAATCGTCGACTTTCCAATTTAGTATTATGTATATAGCTTCCAGTTATGACGGACGTATGCAACAAAATTAATCACTTAATGAATTGGCATCTTGTTTTTCTTTTGTCTCGATCGTTGCCGATCGATAATTTTAGGCTTCTACGAGCAAAATCCGAGAAGACGCCATCAATCGGGGGTACCGAGAACCAATGAACCTAGCGAACTTGGTACGACGTACGAAGACCCCGGCAACGAGGCCAAGAATAACCAATGGAAGAGGATTCTACTATTGGTTATTGCAATAACGGTGAGTTGTTTTTGCTCAATTACTCAAAATTACTTGAAGCTCGTTGGGCAATTAGAAGGCATTAAGTGACGATATTAAAATGTAAATTACGGGGATCGTTCTTCTTTCCTCGTTTCAGGTCCATAATATTCCCGAAGGTCTGGCTGTGGGTGTCGGCTTTGGTGCAATCGGTAGCAGTCCGTCAGCAACTTTCGAAAATGCAAGGTGAGCGATAATTATTAGATAAACCGCTTTATTTACAAAAATGCCACGTGTCTACTTAATGGACTTACTTACCGCCGAGATAAGACGCACTTCAATTTTATCGATCGTATCGCAGCTTAATGTCAAGTCTCATACTTGAAGATAGTATTGTTAAGGCCACAGTCGCGATGATGTGACAGATTAATTTTTACAATTGCAATTTACATTGCACCGAGGCGTAGACGTTACGAACTCTTTACAAAGTTTAATTATTTGTAAGTCCAAGTGAATTTATGATTATTGTAAAAAATGAAAAACAAATGGAATAATACATTTGCATTGAATTTTTATATTATCGTGTAACATAATATTCTTGTGCATTATACATTTTTAAACTATGTTTCATATATCAATGTAATATTGATAAATTGAAAATTTCCGTCAACCGCACCCTTATATAAAACCCATAAACTTCCCTCGTTATAGACAATAAAGTTTTAAAAAAAAAAAAAAAATTAATTTTTTAAATTAATTAATTCAAAATTACCATGCACTGAAATTCATAAAGGGAAGTAAATTTAATTGTACAAAACCCAAAAGTTTTATGAAACAGTCAAGCCTAACATTTACTATTAACAAATTAATAATACATTATTATTGATCGATTAAACAAATACCCTAATAATTATATTATATCCATGGTTTTAAAGGCTAAACAATTATACTTTTACGGAAAATAACAATCACTTTATTTAACATTATCTTGTCCATTATACTAATTTTCTTTCGTATAAAAGTCTGGATTTTTTCCTGAATTTTTCCCGCTACTTTATAAGATTAATTACGACATTCCAACAACAATGGCCAATGGGCTCTATAGCTTTTCGTATAATTATGAAAACTATAGGTTTATGATTGTGGTGGGTTTTCCAGATAATATTCTTAGTCAACCGAGTTAAACCCTTGAGTTGGGGCGTAGATTCATCGTATATGACATCATTGGCTACAACTAATGAAATCTCGGTTGCTGCAGTTCTCGAGATAGTAATTCGAGATATACCCTCCGTTAATATACAAACACTATTAATTGTAAATTTAGTTTTTCCATTATATTTATTTTACTCCCTATTCCTATAATTGACATTTTGATACGATGTAACAATTAAGATAATTGCAATATAGTCAATAATAATATAAAATCGAATTATGTCATGAGTACGCAAATAATTCAAGAACAACAATAGTAGAATAACATTAGAATAACTTAATACGCATACAAGTAAATGAAGAATAAATATTTAATTAGAAAATATATTATAAATAAATGTTATTAGAATTTAGAACAGTAGATAAAAAATGTAATAATAATTGTTATGACGATTTGTCCTAAATCTCGTTCTTATTTTTACGTTCATATATATTTATAAATATTTACGTTTCATATTTTCCAAAAATAGGACAGAATTCAGATAAAATTAAATTCTCCATAGCTGCGAATGAAGCTTGAAAGTGCATAAAAAACGTAACTAAAAAATAAAAATGAAAGTTTTTTTTAAAAGAAGACAAAAATTGTCTATTTAGAAAGGTGCATTGACTTTTTGAACTATTGAAAATTTATATTATCGATAATTTAATAATTAATTATGTTTTAACAAACTCCTAAACAAATGACTAATCCATTTACTATCTGCTGCATTCAAGTCTCGTGGATCATGGTAAGATATAACAATTCAATATAAAAGCGAAAAATAAATGTTTTTACGCGTATTGTAACAAATAATCGGAATTCTATTCCTCGCTGATTAATATATTTAGAATTTTTCAATCAGTAAGTCTCATTTTCACTATTTTTAATATAAATTCTGTAACTGTTTTTTTTTCTTTTATAAATATGATGTATATTAAACAACGCAAGTGCATAATAAATAAATAAAGTAATGAAGCATTTATTGCATAAAGTTATTTTTTTAGAATAAATAACGAGATAATCGATACTACTCTAATTTAATATAATTATATTATTTACGTAATATATTAATTGCGATTTATCAAAGTTATACTATTATTATCAAATGAGTAAAACTAAAAGATCGGATTTTATTTAAATTAAATCCGCGAATGATTTAAAATCGAAAGTTCTTTATAATAAATATCAAACAATCGTATGTTGATTAATGTTGCGAATAAGAAACTTTTTGTCTCTTTCGCAATTATTTTTAATGTTCAATAAAAGATTATTTGTTTACGATTTCGTATGTCGAAGATTTATTGTGCTTCTGAAATCGTTAATTTATCATACGTAATCTCATAATTATAATTAATGATCTACGTTAAAAATCTATCGGCAAGCATATTCTATCTCGAAAATCGTAAATAGAAATGAAATATTATGAACTTTAAATTAATCGTCGCATCTGTTTTAATGTACTTCTTTATAATTGTATATCCGATACATCTCACCTTACAAGGATAATTTTTGTATTTATATTATTTATATTATTTATATTTATATATAAATGCGATGTGAATATTTATTAATCCATTTACACCTGTAAAGGTAAATAATTCTTAGATTTATTTTAAATTGCACGCTTAAAAATGCGTGGATGAATGATGCATAATTATTAATCGTTTGATTTTATTAATGTCATTGAAGAAAACAAACTACTTGAATGTGACCTTGATGATTAGAATGATTAAAAAATTAAGTTCATATAGTTGAATTTTTCTTTTTTTTTTTCCTTAACGGTTTTTTTCTTTGTTTAAATAAATTAATTAAATAATCGAGAATTAGGATTTAATGAACAATGGCTGTTTATGAAAAATGGTTGAATATACTTTATTCATTCGGACAAAATTTTTTAATTTATCACTTAAACGACGAATACATGACATTCAGATAGAATGAATACACATTAATTATAATATATGGTGCATATAATAGGCTGTTTAATCTAATCTTTTTGTTGCATATGGATATTCTCTATCACGATAAAACCAATCAAAAACTTTTTGCATAAATAGATAAGAATTGTTGTTCAAGGAAAATCTTTCTGGTTTTCGTGTCAAATTCAAACAAAATTTACTTTACCTCTACTTCAAGTAGAACGAAATGCCTGATTATTAAAATAAAACTTTAATGCTGTGAATGGTCTATCAAGGTTGGCACTTTACTTTCTATATATTTCTTTTCTTTTCTATAAACTACCCATAACATTTCAATAACAAATTAACCAAAATATATTTGAATATTTCATTATTATAACTAGGTCTCATAGTTCCTTACCATAACAAAATGTTTCATCCGACTCACGCTCATGTAGCCGAAAGTTTATCGACATTTAATTATCAATCATTTTTAGCTATTATTAGCATTGATTTTCTAATCACAGAAGCTCTAAGTAAGTCTCGAGCTTACAATAAATTTTTCATTCATTCAATAAAATCGCTTATTTCAAAAGATCGGAATTATCAAGTGACAGAGCAGCAAGATATATTACCACAAATTCATCTCTATTATAATCCTCGTTGAATGCAATATGATAATAATAATTTCTCCGATAACTTAATGTATCAATTAATTCATATTTAACATCCTTCTTAGGCATCCTGTTAATATTAATGCAAACATTTCGAATTTACCTCTGTACATTCGGCATTGCACAAGCTTTACAGTCTTCAAATGTTCCACATTACGCGATACGTCACGACGCGATACTTTTAAACTCATCTTCCTAAGGGCTAGGAATGTAGAAATCCCTTTAATTACCTTCAAGGCTAAAATCTCAAATAAATTAGATTGCATCGTCTTTTATCATACAACAAACTACATATAATAAATGCATTTATTATTTCGACTAATTATTTTATTGCATTTATTCTTTTAATGCTTTTATTGCTTGTATATTCTAATTGTAGAATACGGCTTAATAAAAACAATTTTAAATAACGATTGTAAGCCAGAAGTATGTAAACTAAAGGGTGATGTCGTAGGTCGAAGCAGTTGAAAACGCATGGGTCTTGCTAAGCAATATGTCATTATACAATAATCAACTTAACGACCTCTATGTCATACTTGCAAAAACGAATTATTCAATTCGAGCCCCGAGTGCGGCGGCCGGTCACCGTCGAATGTCGATTATATCCGGACAGCACAATATTATCCTTGAGATACATTCAACAGTCTATGTAATTTAATAGTACACACACCACTTAAGACGATAAGGCAATTAGCTGCACATCGGTGGTGGTACACTGCATTCGATATCATCTGCCATACGGCGATAAGTTAGAGAACTTCCTCGGCCGAACAAGCGCGCCAGTATTTTTTATGTCGCTTCACGACCGCCAGATGTCGTCCGGCCGTACTCGCAGCTTCCTCGGCATGTATGAAAAGAGAATCTCGCGGTGTTGCTCGGTACAGGACGACAGGTCGCGATCCGCTCTTCGACTCTAAGAGTGGGAAGAGCGACTGTAGCTGTGGCATTCGTGGTAGGAGGTCCGCATGAATGAGTTCCATGGTGGTCGGGTGCACAAGAGAGGCGCGGCGGGGATTACCCGGAGGCTGAGTTTATTGGCGCGGCTCGTCGCTCGCTCGCCCCCTCCCCTCCACCTTCTCTTACCCATGCTCCCTCTTGACTCTCTTCCCTCTCGCGCTGGCACCGTCCCACTCTCTCTCTCTCTCTCTCTCTCTCTCTACTGAGAAAATGTACGTGTAACATCGAGAGAAAGGAGAGAGAGAGCGTGCGGCCCTGGAATCCAGCGAGCCCTAGGCGCCGCGCATTCCATCCCTACTACCTCTCGCGAGGAGACGGCCAGACCTCTATATCGTCTCCTCGTGCGCTCCTTTCGACCAGAGAGGCTTCCTCAAACGCGCGCTCAGGGTTGAATATTCACCGACTACCGACACCTACGTCCTTACATTGTATCCGTTGTATACCGAGACTCTCGAGTGTCCGTGCACTCATTGATCACGTAACCCGTCGAAGCTTCGGTTATTATTCTTCGGCTTGGCCCGATCG